CTCGTACTGTTCCTTCCAATTATCTGCCTCAGTATGGTAGTCATGCATTAGCTGCTCTGTATGGACGATCTTTTTCATCATCTCTGTACCAATGAGATTGATCTACATAATGAAAAAGAAATGTGATACTGATAAAAGAAAAATCACATAAGATAAAAAGGCGATATTTATACCTTCAAGGAAGAATGGACAATATCGTTCATCCAAGTGAGAGAGCTATGACTCTTCAGTTTTGACTTCTCAAGTGGGCCTATCAGTGGTTTTAACCACACGTCAGCCTGGCCTGATTTCTTCAAAAGGTTACCATCTGAGGGAGTCTCAATGGTAACTTGTTTCATTGCCCTACTTCCACTAGAGGAACCACTTTCAGCGTGAGAAGTTGTGGCAGCAGGAACGATCGAAGAAGTCAAAATAGCCACTGGCGGAGCAGTAGCGGCAACAGTAGGAACAGGCAACTGAGTTTCCGTTGGAGCAGACACGGGAAAAGAGTCATGAGGCGCCTCCTCAGAAATTAAGCCAAAGTTTTTATCATCAAATCCACGAGAAAAGAGGTGTTCAGTAGAGTCACGGGGTGTTGCAGGCGTCTCTTCATCAGAACTCACTAAAGTAGCACTCTCAGGCTCAAACACAGAAACAAGACGAGGAGGAGGAGTAGCTCCATCATTAGATATGACCCGTCTTCTGGCTCGTGGCTTACGAACCAAAGAGCCCTCATCCCTCTCCTCTTCATCTTCGGAATCCTGTGGCCTGTCAGCTTTTCTTTTTGATGAGGAACTCAAAATTATTTCCTGAGCTTTTGCTAAAGAGAGCCTTGAGGTAAGGGTGGCAAANTATACACACACACACACACACACACACACTATAATTTTTAGATAATTTACAAGAAATTGCCTTATATAAGATTGTATATACTAAGTGTATAGTATATAAGCTATATCCGAATTTCAATATAACATTAGCTATCATCAGAAGCAGGAAGAGTAACTTGAGCGGAAGGAGATTGAATAGCAGCCTCACCAGGAGTAATTTCATCACCCTCGGGAATGTCAGTCACAGGTGAAGAAAAGCTTTGACTTTGTTAAGTTTTCTCAATGGTCTCCTTGATCTTTGCAATCTCAGCAGCTAAGTCAAAGCCTTCCTGGATTGCTTCAAGTAAAGTATCATGACGTTCGTTCAAAAAAGCCCAACTTACTTAAACGGCAGTCTTGTCTTCAAGGGCTTCATAGTCTCTTTCCCAATGCTCAATCTCATTCCTGAGTTCTTCTTTCTCGGTTAAGGCAGCATCATAAGAAGCCTACGGGNAATGTGATACTGATAAAAGAAAAATCACATAAGATAAAAAGGCGATATTTATACCTTCAAGGAAGAATGGACAATATCGTTCATCCAAGTGAGAGAGCTATGACTCTCCAGTTTTGACTTCTCAAGTGGGCCTATCAGTGGTTTTAACCACACGTCAGCCTGGCCTGATTTCTTCAAAAGGTTACCATCTGAGGGAGTCTCAATGGTAACTTGTTTCATTGCCCTACTTCCACTAGAGGAACCACTTTCAGCGTGAGAAGTTGTGGCAGCAGGAACGATCGAAGAAGTCAAAATAGCCACTGGCGGAGCAGTAGCGGCAACAGTAGGAACAGGCAACTGAGTTTCCGTTGGAGCAGACACGGGAAAAGAGTCATGAGGCGCCTCCTCAGAAATTAAGCCAAAGTTTTTATCATCAAATCCACGAGAAAAGAGGTGTTCAGTAGAGTCACGGGGTGTTGCAGGCGTCTCTTCATCAGAACTCACTAAAGTAGCACTCTCAGGCTCAAACACAGAAACAAGACGAGGAGGAGGAGTAGCTCCATCATCAGATATGACCCGTCTTCTGGCTCGTGGCTTACGAACCAAAGAGCCCTCATCCCTCTCCTCTTCATCTTCGGAATCCTGTGGCCTGTCAGCTTTTCTTTTTGATGAGGAACTCAAAATTATTTCCTGAGCTATTGCTAAAGAGAGCCTTGAGGTAAGGGTGGCAAACGGTCCGGGCTCGGTCCCAAACGGGCTTCGCGGGCCGGGCTTAAACGGACCCGGGCTTCATGGGTTTTTGGGTGTAACCAGACCGGGACCGTGTACTAATGGTCCCGGGCTATGTGGGCCGGGCCCGATCCTAAATGGGCCTTGACTATTTTTTTAAAAATATTTTTATCTAACGCAACTTTTTATAAATTATATAGCTTATATATATAATATATATACTATATCTATATCTACAAATATATATATAAAAAGTTTGGGGTTAAAACTAAGTTGGGGTGTTAAATGGCTATTTTATAAATAGCCAACAACTATTTTTGCAGCCATAACAGCTATTTTTAAAGGTGCAACGGTCAGATTTTTATTTGAGAATTTTTTTTAAAATTAGCGGTTGGGCCCGTTTAGGACCGTTTGGGACCGGATAGGACCGGTTGAACCGGCCCACTTAGGAGCCGGTCCCGGACCCAAACGGTCACGGTCCTAACGGGCATATTATTTGAACCAGCCCACTTGGGCCTCAAGCCCCTGGTCCCGGGCTTAAACGGGTAGGCCCATTTAGGCCCACTACCCATATGGGCTCGCGGGCCCGGGCCGGGCCTGGGCCTAGCCGGCCCTCTTGCCACCCTTACCTTGAGGCAGTAGTTGATTCAGCACTTACACCCTGAATGGGAAACCCTAATAAAGAAAAGGTTTAACAAGTGCTAGGATAAGAACAAAAATAAAGAAGAAAGTAAAAGAGGAAGTTACCCGTGAGTCTTAACTTTCCATCCAAATCTATTTGAAAGATACTTCCACGACCTCACTTCCATAGGAGCATTTGTTAACGCTTTTTCTACCCAACCACGGAAACCGGGTATCTCCTCAACAGTTCCCATGGTTGCTGAAAAATAAAAATAAAACAGTTACGAGAAGTACACGCTCTTCACAAAAAAAGAGGTGAAATAAAGATTGAAAGAAAAACTTACGTGCAAAGTTCCACTTCTCAGGGAAGGGCATGTTCTCTTCACCTACTAACCCACTTGTGGGGGCAACAACGAATCGGGCATACCAGCCACGCTCTTTATCATCCTCAGGGCTAACCAAAACTCTCTTACTTCTTGCTACGAGAGTAAAAATCCCATGACGGAATAACTTGGGAGAGTAGAGATGGATTAAATGGTAAAAGGTGAAGGGTAACTGAGGCAGATTTGCCAAATACCTAAGGCATGCCACAACCCTCCATACAATAGGGCCAATCTGTCCTAAACACACATCAAAGAAAAGACAAAATTCAATGATGACCGGGTCAATAGGAGGCCTAAAATCTAATGTGAAGGGATATGTATACACAAAAGAAAAACCAGCTTTAAAGGAACTGATTCTTTGATTTTCATTAGGAACCAGAATTGGGAAGTCAAATTTCCAATGGCAGTCTCTACGCACAACAGAAATCAAACCTTCAGTTATCGAGAAGTGTAAACATCAGCACGATCATGAGAAGTCATAAAAGTGACTTGATTCCTAATCGATTCCCTATCAGAATAGAAAGAAAGTTCAGCAGGGATGATCTCATCAACAGAAGGTTCACGAATTGGTTCATTAGAATCTCTACCTCTAACGGACGATCTAATAGAAAAAGAGGCCCTAGTTCTAGAAGATGATGGGGGAGTAGGACTAGGTTGAGAAGATGAACCACATATAGAAACTGACCCTAAACTACGTAACCTACCACCTACTTCTCGTGGGAGTAGAAGAAGGGGGAAGTTCGTCTACAATAAGAACTTTTCAGGGATCAGGATTTGAAGAAGACATGGTTGTATGAAGAAGTAGAACGTGTTGAAGAGCAGGATGTGGATAAAGAACACTGAAGAAATTTTTTTCGTGAAAGTAAAGACAAAGGATGTATTTATATAAAGAAGCAACCGTCATGCAAAAAAGGTAATGATGGAAACGTCATCATGAACACTGTCACTTCGTGATTGATACAGCCGTAAAAAATCCCTAGAAACCGCTGAAGAGCTGTAGAACAAATCAATGACCGCCACGTGTAACACGCATTAAATGGAAGTAACATGCGATGCGTTAGTTCAGAAGAAGGAATAATGGTATGTGAGAAACGACGGTAAAAATTCCCGCTTTAAATGAGAGCCACTTCCCAAATATTTAATTGTTAACTAATTGGCAAGTGGGGGTACATTACACGTGGAATTAATTGTGTGGCTGGCATGGCAAGACACGTGGATCATTAGAAAAGTGACAGCTGGAGAAGAGTACTTAAAAAGACGTGAGTCTTAATAGGTACGAACAAAACGTCTGAGGGATAAGAAGGAACGGTTGCTCGAGTCTCTCAGTAATCTGAAAAAACACCGGTGAAATGAACCAAGACAGAAAAAAGGATAAATTCATTAAACTTCAATTAATGGGCATGAATGATTACAAACGTTACAGAATCTTCACGAAACAATTACGATTACCAATTATAACGTTTCATTAATGTCATTAATGCTCATAATGACTTAGTCATAAAGGGGAAAAGACGTTGTACTTAGAAATGTCTATATAAGGAATAGAAATGTCATTTGTATGGACACGTTCTGATTATCATTGCAATACAATTATTTACTTCTGCTTTATATTGATTACTTTGCTATTCCATACTTTAATTTTCCTTTCTTATTACAAGAATATTCCTTTTCTTAATTATCAATAACCCGAGTACTTCTAAAAATAGGCTTTGACCGAAATTTTTATTTTCTGATTAAACAGTTACAAAAAATGAAGGGAGAAAAATTAATTTTCACACAATAATTCACTCAAAATGGAAAAACATTCATGCCAAAACCAATAAAGTCCAAAAGGTGGATTAACCATTAGATACCTTTTTTATTATGAGAAAAATGATACGGTTAGTGTTTAATTTGGAAAAATAGTAAGGTGTGTAGATTGGGGAAATGTGTAGGCTAGCACTTCCACTTGGCAACATAGGCTCCACACCTGGTACATTCACATTCTTGGTCAGACAACTGCAATTTTTAGTTTTGCTGCTATTTCCGTGTCAGTCCGCTAATTCAGGAAAGTGAAACATGCAAGTCGTAATTTGATTTGATGTTTGCTTTTAATACACAGTTTTCCGTGTCATTAAGCAAAGCTAACTTCTGCACTATTTTCCAGTTCCCATCTCCATTTATCTACAACACAGACAAGAAGAGTACCACAGAGAAACAAACCAAGAAAACTAAAATGTGGTTTTTCAGGAGAAAAGGGGCATCTGGGTTTTCGTATAATTCTACTGCTGAGGAAGTTACTCAAGGAATTGATGGCTCTGGTCTCACTGCCATTGTTACAGGTTCCACTATGCTTCCTCCATTTTACGTTCTTGAAAATTCCCTTTTGGATTCATGCCTATAATGGTTTAATTTGATCTCGGTCGTTACTATTTTTTTTATAATCGTTGCGCGTACCTCGACTAATTCCACGGGATACCTATCACCTCGTGTCAGCAACTCGTGTGAGCAACAGGTACCAGGTAACTCTATCTGCCCAGATTTGGATAGATGGAAAGAAATGACCTAGTGATTTTTGTCTCCGCTGGGGTTTGAACCTGAGACAGGTTCTCACCCACTTCATTAACCACCAGGCCACACCGGGCGCGATCTCTATCTTTACTATTGTTGGTGCATGCAACTATTTTCCTTTACAACAACAACGAACCCAGTTTATTATCATAAATGGGTCTGGGAGGATAGTGTGTACTCGGATCTTCCGGGAGGCTGTTTCCGGTAGACCCTCGGCTCAAGGCCAACTATTTCCTTTAGTATGTTAAATTAAAAGAGGGTGACACCTTCATGGATTAAGGGTATGAACCAATAAATTAAAGTTGATTGCTGACAATATTCAATTTCAACTTCATTTTGCACCAGACCAACATAATTGGTAATTGAATTTCTGAACCGCTAATGAAATATTGAATTCCATAGAGTAGTCATCAGGCAATTCCTTATGTGGCCCAGCTAATGCAAAAATTGGTCCACGCATAGATTAGACTATTGCAGAAGCTGCAATATGTATATGCAGCTGAAGCAATTGGTCTATTATCACCAAGCGGGAAGTAGAAAAAATTCATATTGGTTAACTTTAATCGATAATACATTCTCATGTTTACCTCTTCTTCATTTTCCATACTATGGCAACTAGTGATCCGTGGTAAACAGTTAAATGGACAATACTAATGTAGATACGCATGTTTGAGTAAAGTGGCTTTTCTATACAGTTGAGATAACACATTGGAATCTCTTAGGTAAAGTGTGTGCAATATCTTTATTAAGAGGCAGGGAGGCAGGAAATGTTAAGCATTTAGCGGTATCTGGTTTGCTCATGAACATCCATTTGCAGGAGCATCAAGTGGTATTGGATCTGAAACTAGCCGTGTTCTTGCTTTGCGTGGAGTTCATGTTATCATGGCCGTCAGGAATATGGCTGCTGGAAAAGATGTTAAAGAAACAATAGTTAAGGAAATCCCTGCTGCTAAAGTTGATACGATGGAGTTAGATCTAAGCTCATTGGCATCAGTGAAGAAATTTGCATCTGACTTTAAATCATCAGGTCGCCCATTGAACCTTTTAATGTAAGTGAAGAATAAGAGTGGTAATCAAGTACCTGAATTACTCCTTATATATCATTTAAGTAGCTTTGTTCTCTGAGTGAATCTGTTCCCGCTTCATATATCTCCACATAGGTGAGTTAACATCATCTTCTTTGAAAGTAATAATGCAGGAGTGATGGCAACTCCCTTTATGCTCTCAAAAGACAACATAGAGCTGCAATTTGCTACAAATCATCTAGGTAACAACTATTTGATAGATATATGTTTCTATGCATATATCGATCACGGAATGAGGAAAAGCATAATTTAGTTTGGAAAAGATATTATTGATGTTTTATAGTAGATCATAGAATACTTGCATTTTCTTTTATCTTTTTTTTTTGTTCCAGCAACAGCTCATTTTATCTCCCTTCCTGATTTTATTGAGATGAAGATTCAGTTCTTGCTGAAAAGAGATCAATAGTTGATTCTCAACTTTGACATCTTAGGCTTATGTTATAACATGCATGCATATAAGACAATCTGAGACCTATTTTAACTTGTATATGCAACATTGATACAAGAGAGATAAAGCATGATTCTAGAATCACACTGGTAAGCGGGCAATTAATGTCCCTTTTCCCCATACTTTGTCATCCTACTCTTCTGTAATACAACACACGCATGACAAATCTTACAAGGTTGGTAGTAAGTTGTAGATAGATGATAGGCGGGCGATGATTCCAAAAGTAAGCTTTCAAGACATTCTTCCTGTTTATTTGTCTTAGCCATAATTATTCTATTTTCTTGTGTTTGCAGGTCATTTTCTTTTGACGAATTTGTTGTTGGACAAGATGAAGGAGACAACACGTAAAACAAAGAGAGAGGGAAGGATTGTGAATGTTGCATCAGAGGCTCATCGATTTGCATATCGCGAGGGAGTAAGGTTTGACAAAATTAATGACCGCGAAAGGTAATTTGATTAAATTTTATTGCCTAATTTTCTGAAGTTTTCCATATTGTAAGAGAAACCCATGTTTGCTCAAAATCTATCACTTTTTCAGTTACTTCTTTAATCATCCTGGAATTTTCACAATTTGTGTCTAAAGGCTCCAGTAGTTCCATGAGAGTGTATAATATAGTTAATATAGATTTCCGATGTTATCACGCCAGGATGAGTACTTGCAATTCGTTACGAGTTCTTGGTTGACCATCTCTCTTGTTAATTCTGGTGTCCTAGATTTTCCAACAACACCTTAATGTTCCTCTGCGATCACTTAAATCTATTGTTGTTACCTGGAGAGTACTGGATTTATGCTATCTGTATTATAACTGTATTATAACTACCCTCCCCAGACCCACTTGTTGGGATCAAACTGTTTTTATTTTTATTTTTTTATTTTTTTTTATTATATATTTTTTTTATTTTTTTTTATTTTTTATTTTTATTATAACTGTAATGAATTATTTTGGACTATTGGAAACAACCTCTCTACCTTTACTAGGTAGGGGTAAGGTCTACGTACAGTCGTACACACTACTCCCCAGACCCCACATGTGGGAATATACTGGGTTTGTTGTTGTTGTTGTATTATCTCTAATTTATGATCACATCATTTGACTGATCACTTATCTTGTTTGGTTTCTTTCAATCTTAATAGTTGCTCATTACTACTATTGTACCAATCAAAGAAGACAAAAATTTCGTGCTAAAATTGACGATTCATTGCTGTCTTTTTCACTTCAAGCTGCATAACCATGATTATGATTACATGACAAAAATAGTCTTGCCCTGTGGAGAATTGATTTTAATTGCCTATGTTGTTTGTTATCTTATGTGCAGCTACAACAGCTTCGGTGCATATGGCCAATCAAAGCTGGCTAACATACTGCACGCAAATGAGCTTACGAGACGCTTAAAGGTGTTCTTTCAGAAAATAATTACATACTGCTTTTAATTCTGATTTTGTCTTAGCGGTTCTTGTGTAGTCATGATATGTCTCCATTCCTAGAGGCAAACATATATATTTCTTAAAGTGGATATTTGGACCCTTTTGCACATTAAGAAAATTCTTGGTTTGGAGTCTCTGACTTCTGTAGCCAAATCATAGCTTTAGATGAGGGTCCATGCCATTCAATCGAACTCAAATTTGAGTGATCATTGTTTCAAACAGGAAGATGGAGCTGAAATAACTGCAAATTCACTTCATCCTGGAATGATCACAACCAATCTTTTCCGTCACATGGGTGTTTTTGATGGTAGTAAGATGCTCTTTTCTTCTTTTTTCTATTTAGTAGCTGGTGTCTGATTAATATGAATGGTATGTGCAATATGTTCCTTCATTAGGTGGGGGTAAGGTCTGCGTACACTTTACCCTCCCCAGATACCACAAGAGATTTCACTGGGCTTGTTGTTGTTGGTTGTTGGTATGTGCAGTATGTTATCTATTTTCTTTATGTCGGGAAAAAAGCATCTGTCCTCTTACGAATGCTAACTCATGGCATAATGAGAAAAGGCAGTCACGTTTTGATCTGTAGATTTGTGGCGCATCATCGCCCTTCTTTTTCCAACATTTGACAAAATTAATCCTTAGTCTGTGAGTCACTCAAGCTCTTTCCTCTTTTTCTCTTTATTTTATTGTTTCCTCAAGGTGGCGTGGAAACGGAGGGGGATTGTCAAGAACTTTACCACTACAAATTTAGGGGAGGAGAGGGGGCTGGAATTGAACTCTGGCACTAAGTCTAATGGCCGTTATTGAGCCACCAGGCTGTCTCTTAGCTGACTTTGCATTAGCTTCGCGGATTAAATCCTTTTAAGAAATAAAGTTTTTGATCGGAATACGAATCAAACCGAAGGACCCTTTAACTATTTAAGGGATAATAGAACGAGAGATACACATCTCTGTGACATTTAACTTAAAAAATCTTTACATATAGTTTTAAGCCCATGGTCATTGTAGAATATTTACGTATATGTTTGTCTCGCGTGCAGCCTGAAGAGAAGCGAACATGAAATATTCCTTCTTCTTATTACAGGTCTTGTAAGCAACCTTGGAAAACTTGTGCTTAAAAATGTACAACAGGTATGTTTCACATCGAAGCATTTAAATTTGAAGTATGCACAGATCTATGAGTTGTACTTCAAATAGATCTATTATTTTGCAAATCTATACGCTGTGCAGAGAATTTTGACATCTTCTTGAACAATTAGTTTTGCTCATGCTGGGGAAAATGCCTAAATAATATATGCATACAGCATCAGTTCTTGCTATCAGAGGCTTTTTTCTTAGGATCATTAATCAGTTAGATAAATATTCATCAGATAAAATTCCCTGGTATGTACATGGGAAATTTAAGAATACGGAACCTGGCCAAAAAAAAAAAAAAAAATTCCCGGAGGTAAGTCACAAAACAAAACCAGAGAATTATTTGTCGCTACTCAATACAGACGAACGTGTCTAATACTCTTTTGATGCGCATGACCTTTGATCAGACCAAGAAGGCAAGAATATGATTCACTGTAAGAATACAAATCATGATGCCATGGCAAATGACGTTTTTAATGTTCGTGTTTCTTCTTCTATAGGGAGCATCAACCACCTGTTATCTTGCGTTGCATCCACAAGTGAAGGGAGTAAGTGGTGAATATTTTCTGGACAACAATTTGGCGACAACAACAGCGAAGGCTAAGGACATGGATTTAGCTAAAAGGCTTTGGGATTTTAGTATGGATTTGGTCAAGTAACGTATTACATGTCGTACTAGTAATATAGAAAAGTAACTTTGTATTTGGTCGTTTGTAATCTTATTATTGCACTGTAGTGTTATCAAATCTTCAGCTTTCTGCAGATGTTCAACGTATGGACCGAGCATGCTTAAAATGAAAAGCTTTTGTGAGCCTCTCAAAGCAAGAAAGCCTGAGCGGGCGTTCTCTTTAAAAAACTGGATCGATATTCTATTATGTCAGTACGAATTTAAGTTCTATGCACTAACTTTATAAAAATATTTATACAGTCATGTCACTTAAAAGGTAATTGTATGTAATCTATTTAATAAGCATTCATCGCTGACCTATAAGGGGTCGTTTGGTTTGAATACCCCTTATGCCGGGATAAGTTATACTGGTATAAGTTATGCCGGGATAAGTTATGCTGGGATTAGTTATGTCGGGATTGTTTTTTATCCATTGTTTGGTATGTTGTATTAAATATGACAATTGCATAATTTGTAAGAAGAATGTATAAGTTATACCGGTGCTAATTATCCCACCCTCTATAAGGTATAAGTTATCCCGGTGTTAATTTTAATCTCGGGATAACTTATACATGGTTTGCTAATCAAACGAAGTATTAAGGTGGTATTAAATTTTTATACTAGCACTATACCTTCTTATACCTCATACCAAATGACCCCTAATAGGTTAAATTACACTAGTGATGCAAAAGAATTTTACAATTTTTTTTGTCAAACTGTAATTTTCATTTAACCAAGTATAATATTTACTATTCCCTAGCTCATTTGGACTCTTGAGCTAGACCCAATAACAAAATTAACAACCACTTTTTTTCTACTACAACTTCTCTACTTTCTATCTCTATAAATGACTATACATGTCTAAGTATGATAGTTGCTCAATCTTTCTAACTCCTTGTGCCATTTGGTATATTTTACCCTCATATGTGAAGCTCTAGTATAATATTCTTCACCCTCTGAAGGCTTGATATCATCTTCCCTTGAAATTTTCGTTGGTTCCTCTCTGCCCAGACATGGTAAATCACAGCTGCAAACAGGAAGCCTAGCATGTGAGCTCGAACTCTTCATGAACTTCTCTTTGTTAACCATTCAATCTCAGCATTCCAGCTACAATTTAATGTCTTTCTCCCGTCCATTTTAACAATGTTGCCCACATATTCCTGTAGTAATCACATTCAAAAAAGAGGTGCTTCATTGTCTCCTCGGTGTCCTTCCCACGGAGCACACAGTCACTTGCTATTGATAGTTCCCCACTTCCTTAGCCGATCCACTGTAGCTAGCTTCCTATGTATAGCCAACCACAAGATGAATTGATACCTTGGTAATGCTTTTGAGTCAATTGTAATCCTTTTCCAATGACACTTAGGATACTGGGGCATTGTTGCAACATACAACTTTTAATCCTGAACTTCCCTTTTATATAGTATTATTCAAATCACCAGAGGGGTCCCTTTGAGTTAACCCTAGTATCAAATATTTTCCTAACTAGCCAGCATGCCTGCTTAGGAGTGTGCATAGTCATTATATCATTCCCTTTGTTGTAGAAGCTGTGTATCCATTAGATCCATAGGGTGTCCTTTTTTTCATTAATTGCCCATAAGAGCTTACATAAAGCAGCTTTGTTCCAGTTAGACACATCAAGTACATTCAGACTTCCAGTTGAAAGTGGCATACATATCTTGTCCCAAGCAACTAGTGCTCTCCTCGAAGGTTCATTACTTCCAGTCCAAAGGAAAGTTCTACAAGCAGTCACAATCAGTTTAGTTATCTTTTTGGCAGTAAGAAAACCTGCGCCCAGTAGGTCTGCATTTCAAATATCACACTCTTGATCAATTGTACCCGACCACTATAAGATAGGAATTTGGTGGTCCAGCATTTGAGTCGTGTAGTAATCCTTTCAATCAATGGCATACACTGCTGGATAGATAGCTTCTTAGAGGACAAAAGGACTCCTAGGTACTTGAATGACAACTCACCTGCTGTGAATTGCATTTATGTAATGATCAATTCTTTGAACTCCCTTGGTACCCCTGCAATATACAAAGCACTTTTCTCCATATTTGCTTTAAGCCCTGACACCTCTAAGAAATGTTGAAATTTGCTCATAAGTAAGCTTATGGATAGCTTATCTGCTCTGCAGCACATGATCAGATCATCAGCAAAACATATGAGTTATATTCTTTTTGGAGCACCTCGGGTGGTAATTGAAGTCTGGAATGCACTCTACTGTCTTCAGTGATCGATTCAGGTATTCCATCACCAATACAAATAGGTAGGGAGACATTGGATCTCCTTGCCTAAGCCCCTTTTTTGCTTGAAATTTGGTCGTCAATCCTCCATTTATCAGCAGAGAATAACTGACAATTGTCATACACTCCATCACAAGCTGTACAAACTTCACAGGCATACCAAATTCAATCAGTATCATCTTTAGGAAAGGCAACTCAACTGATTCATATGCCTTTCTTATGTCAACTTTGATCAAACATCTTGGTGAGACCCCTTTCTGAGTGTATCCTTTCACCAACTCATAGGCAATAATAACATTGTCCAAGATGTTCCTCCCCTCGATAAATGATGATTCAGCAGGTCCAACAATGTAGTCAACCATAGTCTTTAATTTTATCGTTATAATCTTTGCAATGAGTTTATAAATTGTAGAACAACATGCTATGAGTATAAATTCCTTAACAGATGTAGGACTGTTAACTTTGGCCACCAGTGTAACTGTAGTGCAGTTAATACTCCTCAGCATCTTCCCATTGGCAAAGAATTCCTGTATAGCTTGTTTAACTTCACCTCTAATAAGACTCCAGTATGTTTTAAAGAATTCAGTAGGAAATCCATCTATACCTACTGCTTTTTCATTAGGCAAATCTTTGAGGGCCTGATCTATGTCCTTTTCTGTTATTGGCCTGTTGAGCTCTCATTGTTGTTCATTAGTGAGGCAAGGTCCATTTCTGGCTGTATCAATATCAATACATAGTAATTCAGCAGCACACTCCCCCAATAAAGATTTAAAGAAACCTGTAAATTCTTGCTCTATCAGTTTTGGCTCAGTAATTCTGGATCCTTGATCATTGTAGATGGAACCAATTCTGTTCCTCGCCTGCCTAGCCTTTAGATGCGCGTGAATGAATTTGGTATTTTTGTCTCCATCTTTTATCCACATTGCTCTAGATCTCTGTCGCATCATTTGCTCATTAATTCTTTCCCATTTTTCTATCTGCACCAACAACTCTTTCTCTTCTGAGATCAGCTGACCATTAAATGGATCCACATCAAGTTTCCCTTGAACGTTATGCAATTGTACCCTCAAATTGTCCAGCTTCCTCTCTAATGAAGATACCTCTTTATTCAACTGCTCTACCTTGTCTTTTAGACTCTATAGTTTCACCCAGATAGAGTACATAGTATGCCCCTGTATTTGTTGACACCACACATCGTGCACAACTTTCTCAAACTCCTTATTATTCAGTAGCACATTGTAGAGTCTAAATGGCTTTTACAGATAGGACTTAACTACTTCTGTATTAATGATAATAGGAGAGTGGTCTGATACTCCAGGCTTTTCAAAAATAGCTTCAAGACTACTATATCGTGTCAGCCACGAGGCATTGCCAAAAGCCCAATCAATGTTGCTATAAATCATGTGCTCTGCATCCCTCTTATTACACCAAGACCATTGGCAACCCTTCCTGTTAAGTTGTCCCACCCAGTGTCAGCAATACATCTTTGAAAATCCATCAATTCAACTTGTTGCACTGGTTGCCCATTGGTTCGATCGTCAATAGATAAAACACTATTGAAGTCACCTATAACTAACCATGCTTCTTGCATAATATTTTGTATTTGTCTTAGTTGTTCCCATAGGCTCCTTCTTTTAGCTATAGTATTCTTTCCATACACAAAGGTTATGTCACGTGTAAATTGTGTACTTTTATCTTTCACCTTGTAATGTACCAGTTGATCACTAGCCATCACTACATGAACCTGCACCATTTGCTCTTTCCACAGTAGCCTGATTCTCTTCCTCTCATTAATAGCTTCATCAAAGTACACCTTCCACTCTCTACTAAATTTAGCTCGCACTTTAGTAACACTCCTAGGATTTATCTTTGTCTCAAGGCAGCCTAGTAGGGTGATGTTATTTTTCAGCAAAAATGCCTTGAGTTCTTTCTGCTTGAAGGGCTTGTTCAGCCCTCTTATATTCCATAAGCTTATTATCATGGTGGATTTTCCTTATTGAAGTGTGATGACCTAAAAGGTCATCACTTGTTTGGAAATAAATTCAGTATTCCGAGGCCTTAAAACCTCCTTTTTATATCACCTCGATTTACGTGCGCATCCTAGACGTGTATCCGGAAAGTCATTATGTGAAAATCTGTGAAAAATTATAAATTTTGCTTTTAAAATGAATTTAGGATGACTTTGGTCAATATTTTGGGTAAACGGACCCGGACCCATGATTTGAAGGTCCTGAAGGGTCCGTAGAAAAATAGGGGACTTGAGCGTATGTCCGGAATCGAATTCCGAGGTCCCAAGCCTGAGAAATGAATTTTTAAAGAAAATTGTTTTTTGGAAAGTATATGAGTTTTTGGAAGTGAAATGTGTTTGAAATTTGATGGTATCGGGCCAGTATTTTGGTTCTGGAGCCCGGTACAGGTCTTATATGTGAGCTTGTAAAGTTTGGTAAGAAACGGAGGTCATATGACGTGAATCGGAACCTTAGTTGTAAAATTTGAAACTTAGAAAGTTCTTAAGATTTTCTTTGATTTTGATGCTAAATTCATAGTTGTTGATGTTATTTTGGTGATTTGATTGCACGAGCAAGTCCGTATGATGTTTTTAGGTTAGTGTGTATGTTTGGTTTGGAACCTCGAGGGCTCAGGTGAGTTTTGGATAGGCCACAGAGTGAAATTTGGACTTAGGAATTGCTGGTATGTTGCAGGTCTGCAGGCTTCGCATGGCTCACAAATGCGAACAACCCATCGCAAATGCGAGAGAAGGCCTAGGCAGGGCTGATCGCAAATGCGACAATTTCTTTGCAAATGCGAAGAGGCCCAGAAATCCCCTTTTTCGCAAATGCGAATCCCCCATAAATGCGAGAGTAGCAGGTCCTGAAGGGTTCGCAATTGTGAACCCTGGTCGCAATTGCGACATCTGCGACCTGCAAATTCATAACTTAGCCGAAAATCTTTCATTTTT